GTATTTTTAAAAGAATTAATTACTTCTAAATGCCTCTTTAGGTTTGAATTGCAAATCTTTGAAGAAGATATTTTGTTTTTGCATAAAGAGCGTTTTGCATAGATCATTGTATGGTTACTTCCATCCGTTTTACATAAAGTAAAGTACTTACGTAAATTATGAAATGGTATAAGATTCTCATTGTCACTTATATCTGCTGTCACATCAATAGAAGTAGATATATCCATTATTAAAACCTAGAATTTATATTATAATATAATTAATAAATATAACTTGTTCTTACAAAAAATTGGAAATTTTGGAAATATAAAATCTGGTGGAATGGTGGTTAATAAAATATGATGTAGAGATATATATTTTTTAAAATAATATTTAAATTTAATTTTCAACATTTTTATTTTATTTATTGCTTTTTAAGTAAAAAAAATAATTTTTTAAAGGATCGGGATCGAATATTTAAAAAAATGATAGCGATCACGATCCACATTTTAAGGCCAGGATCTTAAATCCGAGAAAATTGACAAATTTAAGATCGAATCCAGGATCGGCGATCTTTTGATTCAATCCTTTAACAACTCTGAATAGGTATGATAATTAAATTTAAAAATAAATATACAGTTGATTAGTCATTTTGAACTCTAATTACAATATTAAATTTGTTAATTTTGAAATAATATATGATTATATTTATTTAATTAGGGTTATATAATAATTTAAATAATAAAAGTCAATTAAACTTCAACTGTTAAAGCTAAATTAATTTTTAGTGAGTTATTGATATTATATTTTTAATACAGAATTTGATTGCAAGCTGACATAGTGAAAATATAATATAAATGTATTAATCTGATCTAATAATTAAAATAGTATTCATTTAATAAAAATTTAAATAGTCTTATTAATTTCTAAGTAATAAAATTAAATCTATATATTACTTAATGGAATTATAAAAGAAATCATTCAGGGAACTATCAAAAAAATTGATTTTTAGTTCAAGGGGATATTAAGGAGCCATTTTAAAAAAAAAATTTGCTTCTGGGGGCTCTTCAAATTTTTAAGGGGGCTCGAGCCCCTGCGCGCCTCACCCCCCCCCCCCCTCCCGCGCCCCCTAGCGATGTCACTGGTTGGTAGGATCATCTGTTTGTATAAAATAAATAAATTAAATTAACAAATAAAAAAAATATGTACCGATGACATAACGTAGCGATGACATGACGTCACGATGACGTAGTGAGGACATCGGAAAATTATAATATAGATGAATGTTAAGAACTGTTGCCTAGTAAGTTGACCAAACTTACTAAATGTAAACATAGAATAGCTGTGACTAAATCCAAGTCAGAATAAGCAGAAAGATTATTTAATTTTTAATTTAAGTCGCAGATACCATTTTTATTTAATATATGTAACTAACAAAGGAAATTAAATAACATTCCCCATTATGTTTCAGGTACAACAGAGCTATGGTAATTTTTTTTGTCATTCACATCAAAGTGAGGGGGAGTCAAATAAGGAAAACTCTTTACGATTAGGAAAGTCGTTGATATCTGTACACACTTAGAAAGGAGAAACTCTGAAAATGTATTATGTTAAGCTACAAAATACCTTCATAAAAATATATTTCTTTATATGCACTTAAGAATATTTTATTCGTTCACAAAATATGATACGTGAAAGCTACATGAAATATATTTGGCTAAAAAAAGAGTTAAATATTTAAAATATAACTGAGCTCTATTAGAAAATTATTTAAAAATATTTATTCCATTATATCAGTAATAATTTTATAAAATTTAAAAATTAAAATTTACATTCAATCTCGAATATAAAAATAATTCTTCCCCTGTAAAAAAGATGGGAATATTGTATATTATTTTAGAAAAAAATTCTTTGTTACCCGATATTTATGAAGTATTTGAATTTCAAATTGCGAATCTCGAAGATATTTAACAATTTGAAACATATCAGTCGAAATGGCATCCATAAAAATGATATTATATATTATAATATTTGAAGAGAAAAAAATAATTATAAGAATATTATCTATATTTAAAGAAATGTGGGTTGCCTAAAATTTGTTGTGAGAAAAAAAGTTCCTTGATATTATTTTTTGGGCTCACATAAAATTTCACTTTTATATTATCACTAGCTAATAACCCGTCAAGAATGATCTGGTTAAGGGGTAATTAGTTTGTGTATATGGTACTAAACATACTTTATCAATATATTATTAAATTTAGAAGAAAAAGAGGTAAATTTGTTAAACACATCTCATAAGATATTATTAATTTAAAATATAATGACCCGTCTAGCTTGATGGGTAAAATGAAATATATATAACTACGAGTACCAGAGCTCCCGTTAGACAGTATTTCTGAGCCCGGCAAAAATGATGGGGAATGAGAATTTCCTCCTTACTCTTATGATAGTTGTTACATGTAATTGAAAATAATATCCAATTTTTATATCCCCTCCCCCACTTCAGGCCAGGTCCAATCTATTAAAACTAAATATAAATGCTATGTTTTGAGCCAAAACATATTTAAAGTTTTAACTTGATACCTATATCAATATTATTTGTTAAAATAATACTTATCACCTATGTCTAATATTTAATATTGAAAAAATTCCCAAGCAAGGTCCAAGGCCATAATAATTTTGAAAAAATTTCCCTAACCCCAACCAAAGATCAAAATAATTTTGATAGTTGAGAACTGGAATAAAATATGGGCCTTGATTTTTTGAACAGGCCGAGCTCAGACATGCAAAAAAAAATTGTTTTAGGTCAATGTCTGATCCATAGTTAATAATAAAAAAAATTCCAAAGTGTCCAAGTTTAAAATAATTTGAAAAATTTTCCAAAAACCCAGCCCAATAATTTATAAATAAATTTTCCAAGCCCAGCCCGACCCATTATAATTTAAAATAAATTTTCTCAAACCTGACTAACCGAAATGATTTTAAATTTTTTCCCCAAGCCTGTAGCTTCCAATAAACAAAATAAATATTGATATATTTAAATTTATCAAAATATAGTTTAATATATAAGAAGAATTGTTTTACAAAATTCAAGATAGAAGGGGAAAGAATGCTTATGGAACATTAAGTCTAGGGATCGAATCTCGTTTATGTATTAAAAAAATTAAAAATAATTTAACATTAGAGGTATATAGTCTCCTTAGATCTATTAACATTAAGATGATAGGGAAATTGATAGAAAAAAATAAAATTAATATTAAAATGATAGGAAAATTGATAGAAAAAATAACATTAAGATTATACGAAAACGTTCATTTCTTGATCAAGGAGATTATATATATTAGTTTCTTAACGCTTTTAACACTTATTAAATGTAAGTAGAACTGTAATGATATTCTCACAAGTATACTTTTTCCTTTTCATGATGATTTAAATTTGTTTCTGAAGAGTTATTCACCTTCATCTGTTTTATATTGTGTGTCCTTTTATAAATTTGATTTATAATTCTTCACCAAAATAAAAGTAACCTACTTATCGCCTATGTTGTAATTTATAAAATATAATTTCAGCGTATACATGACAGGATTTTCACTGGATGCAACTCGCCCCCCCCTCCCCTCAAAACCCTATACCCTTCCGTTTTCCAATTATCAATTCCACTTATTTAATTATAATGCTACTCCCTTCACAAAATTTAAAAATAATAACTTAAATTATTTTAGCTTTACTACGAACTATCACAATATGGTGAATAAAATATAGAGTTATTTTTAGATCATGAATTCAAAAAAAACCCTCATTTTGAATGCATTATTGTAGCATATTGTTTGGCATGAATATGAGTTTGCTGAGAATGTCAATTTAAAAGGATGCAGGTGTTTTATTTGGAAAACAATGTATACGATTGTTTCCATTATATATATTTGGCCGATTATCAGAAATATCATTTTATTATAATAGGTCTATAATAAAAATATTAATTACAGCATTATATTTTGTCCTATTTTATTTAGAAATTGTAGATAATTCCCCAATATATTTATAGTGCCTACCCCTTATCCATCTCAATAAAAATTGGATGCAAACTGTTCCTACCCCCCCCCCCCCCCCTCCTCCCTGTTTATTTAGACACTGGTAGATTCCATGTCAATTCAATAAAAATTTAGTGTTATGGTACCCTGTCCTATTTTTTATCATGGGAGGTAAAATATAGATTTACTACGTTCTGCGTCGACAATAGCATCATGGTTTAAGTCAGTTATATATATCATTGGTTTAAGTTTAAGGGATTTTGTATTATTCACTCAATGTTTCATTAAGTTTACTTCATTCTTACTAGAAATAATGAAATGCTGAAAATAAATTTGAATTATCCCGGATTTTTAATCTCTCTTATTGTTGGTTCATTTAAGGCTTGGACAAATATAAATAGTTTTATACAAGGAGTGAATTGTTTCGCAATTTGAATTAGTTTAATTTAAAATCGAGATTTTTATATTAGTCATTATTATTTTATAGGAATTAAAAATAAAGCTTGCAATTAAAATATCATAGTTCAAAAATTTCTTACGATCTCAGTCAAAAATTATTAAGCTAGTATATTTTGTGTTTTAATGTTAAAAAAATATTAACAGAAATATAACAATTGATCCTAAAATATTCATCTTAGTTATTAAATCTTAGTCAAAATCTTTTATTTTAAGGGTTCTTTTTAAAAATTTAACTTTTTCTTCTCTTTATTTTATCATATTTAAAATCTAAATTTAATTCAATATATTATTCAATTCATATATTACACATAAATATTATATAATAAGAAATATATTCAATTGCACTGATAATAGATGAATATGATGTAATATATAATATGAAGTATATGAATGGCTAGTATTCCTTGTTCAGTTACTTGGTATGTAGTATCTTGAAGATATTCTTAATTTATTGTATAATGAAATTACTTTAGTCAATTGGTTGCCTACGACGATAGACCAAATTATGACATTGTGAAATATTCCTGACATCTTCGAAGTTATATATTAATTAATCCATCCTTTCCCAACTTTCCACGAAAAGGATATAAGCAAAATCGTTTTATGCCTTCTGAAGCAAAGAAGAAGAAAGATGCAAAGAAAAAGGAAGCAGCGAAACTACGTTCAGTACCCAACAAAAAAGCAGACGGCTCTACCAATACACAAAATGGAGCTAAAGATGAAATATCAAATGGAGTTGAAAGTATATAATTAAATAAAACATATGCTTATATCAATTATAGGCCTAATAAATGGACTTGATAAGATAGATATTAAATCCATATCGCCTAGGAGTGTAACCGGTGTATTAGCCTCCCATCCTAGGGGTAGGGACATAAAAATAATTAGTTTATCTATCACGTTTTATGGAAATGAACTGCTAACAGATTCAACTTTGGAATTGAATTATGGTAATCGTTATGGGTTTATTGGAAAAAATGGTTCAGGTTAATATAAAAATATGTTATATTACATATCCATTTTTATATATAAATATATTTACTTTTTATATAATATTTAGGCAAAACCACATTATTGAATGCCCTAGCTTTTAGAGAACTTCCTATTCCAGATCACATAGATATATTTCACTTGTCAAATGAAATGCCAGGCAGTGATAAAACTGCTCTTCAGTGTGTTTTAGAGGTTGATGAAGAAAGATTAAAACTTGAAAAACAATGTGAAATATTATCACAAGATGAATCATCTGGTAATTTAGTTTTCACTTATTATATTTCCTCTCCCTTATATTGTGTTTTTAAGAAATTTTAAGCTTTTATTGCAGTTATTAAAAAAAATATAATTTAATTAAATATTCCTGGAACCACTCCTCAGTTAAATGTATATAATATTTTTTTATATATAAATTCCAAGAATTATATAAAGTACTAAAACATGATTTAAGTATAAGAGATAATTTTTATATTATTAAGACCTATGATCTTAAAAAAAATTAGACCCATGCCAGCATGTTTCAGTATTGCTAAAATATTTTGCTCTAAATTAAATACTATTAGATACCCATGACATGTATTTTTGCTTTCCTTTTCTATTGCAGTTCTGGCCGTAAAAATATTCACTAAAGCTATATACCTCCATTTTTGATATTAGTGATAAATCACATCATCCAATGTGTTTATATTTATTAAATATTAAAATAAATGTTTGTTTTTCAAAAAATTTGATGCAAATTTTTAGCCAAATATTTTCATTCCCCATTATTCTTGATCGGTTATCAACTATTTTCATATAAAATACAATATATTTATATTATATAAAATGGTTATTTAGAAAGTTATATAAAAATTGAAATATATTGCAAAATAACAAAAATTACAATATTAGTGTGTTCATATTCTCTGTCATGCCTACCCCTCATATCCACTCACAGAACATCATGTCATGACCCCTTGCTTCTACAGACAATGGATCTATGGGAATCTCTCATTAGTTGATCCTCCCTCATAAGCACAAAGACTCTGAGGACTTCTCTACTCTTCTCCAGTTCCACAGATAGCAGTTTTGAATTTTTCAAAGCATTTCCATCGATAATTGTGACCACTTACACAATGAATTACATCATGCCATTGATCTTAGACTCAATTGCAAAATGGTAATATTCTATTACTGTATTCTCTGTCAACTCTAAAGGCCACCACTATTTACACTGCAAGTTATAGAGGCAGATTTATTAGACTCAAAGTGCAATGTAACTATAACCAGGCCCTTAAAATACGCTAGCATCCCATCAACCTTTGAGTTCACAAGACATACAGTTCTCATGGCAAATGACCAGATGATTTTACCATGAAACCTATGGAAAATAGGGAATTCTTAATTAACCTCCTGCCCCACTGGGTGATGACACTGAGTTGAATAAACCCACCACCCTACAAAATATACATTCTTCGATGGACATTGTATGGCTCTTGTGCCCTAGCCTTTTTATAACAATTATAGTACCAGATTTCAGCGATGATTGAGGATTCCAATAGGGTTACTATTAGTGTTGTTAAACAGCTTTATTTGAGCCGATTTTTAAAAACGGCTAACTCAACATTATAGCAAAGAAAATATAGCATAAGCATCTAGATTTTGCCAATAGATGTTCAATTCTATGTGCCACCTGTGATTAAAATCTTTAGACTTGCATAATATTTTTCTGGATAAAATATTGGATTAGCTGTTTTTAAAAAATCAGCTCAAATTGAGCCTTTTAACAACACTAGTTACTATCTACATCAGAGGATGGCTCTAAACATAGTAAGAAATAATTATTTCAGCTTTATATTAACAATAACTGAGACCCCATAGATGAACCTCTTACACTTGGAATATGTTTTGAACTGCTCAGCTCATTAATGAATACATCAATGAAGCCTCCTTTTCTTGATTCCGGATCAAATGAAAGGAAAACAATTAGAAAATAAGACTGCTAATATTTATGCCTACTTCTCATAATTGATATTCAAAATTATGGCTTTTTTCTTATATTTTTTTAAAATTTTTTTCTATATTATAGATTACAATATTGTGTATTGCTTACATTTCTAACATTAATTATTATTTTTTATTAACAACAAATAAAATTATAAATATTATTATTATAAAAATTTAAGTTTTTTAGAACAGACATGGCTTGTTACCAGCTTTTTGGGGAATTCCTGCAAGAGATAGTTAAATTATTTTTAATTGGTGTAGGAACTGCATACCCCCTCTTCTATGGCTACATCCAACAAAATACTCATACTATACAATACCAAATTTCTGTAAAATTTCATTATATAATGGCATTGATACTAAACAATTTACTAGGGGTGTACTGATACCACTTTTTGGAGGCCTATCCGATATTCCAGATATTAAATTGATATTGGCCGATAACCGATCCGATATCATATCTAATTTTGTATTCTGTAAAGATACCAATGGTTTTAATTTGTAACATACTTTTTATTAGTATAACATCTATAATTTAATTATACCATAACTTATATTATTTAAATATATTATAATGATCAGTTATAGTTTATATTCAATTCTATTGCCTAAAAGTATATAAAATATTTTTATTATAAATCACTTTTATATAATAAGTAACAAAATCAATCTATATATTTAATAAGTAATAAACAAATATATTATGAAATTTAAATAAATATTTAATATAATATTTAACATTAATATATGGAAGATTTCTTTTTAGAAATATCAAAATCAATTTATCAGAAATTTACCTGCAGCGATGGTAACTATCAATATCACCAGCTTCACTAAAAACAGATTCTGAAAAGATTATCGCACAATTTTATAAACAGAATGCACAAAAAAATAACAATATGGCAGAATGTTTATTAATTAACCCTTCAATACTCTAAAGGGGTATATGAGGCATTCTAGAAATGATATTGCATAAAAACAGTTAAATATTATTATCTAGATTTTTCAGTAGCTTCATCAAATATATCTTAGAATCTATATTACAAATTTCATACACTTTGGTTGAGTAGTTTTTAAGATATAAGCATTTTGTGACTGATTGGGGTTTGTGAGACCGCACTAGAGTAAATTTGTATGCTCTATATTTTTTTATATTTGAATGTATTAGTGAAATTTTTTTTTTATATTGAAGAATAAAGATCCAAGTTATGAATTATCATGATTATATGATATATAAGTTAATTTTTTCATTTAATATTTTAAATTTAAAAAAAGTTGGCTTTTTTTAGAAAATTTTGGGACAAATTATATTACTCCCAGGTTTAAGGTTAGTTCTATCTTATATCCAAATATTAAATCTAAATAATGAATATAACTGGAGATATATGCATTTGAAATTGGGGTTTATTAAACCCCACCCGAGTATTAACTTGATTTTTTTTCACCGGAGTATGGAAGGGTTAAATAATATTATTAAAAAATATGGATTTCGATTTTATTTATAAAATTAAATGATTTTAGATATAACTTTTTTTAAAAAATTTATAACATTTTATTTTTGTTAAGGACACCGTTTTATATCGTATTGGATCGGCAATTTTTTTAATATTGACAGATAGCCGATATTTTATAATAGGTGAAATATCGGCCCGATCCGATCCGATAAAAAATATCGGTACATTTCTACAATTTACTGAAATTTGGTAATATTTAGTATGAGTGTTTTGTGGGATGTAGTCGTAGGGGAGGGGGTATGCAGTACCTACACCAATTAAAAATAATTTTGGTTCTGTGCTTATTTAAATGACATATTATAATATATACCTCATTTAATAAACAATCTTTTAAGATTTTTGCCATAAATTTTGAGCAAAACTTTTGTAGATTTTTTATAGAATTTTGCTCAATATTCTATTTTTTTAAATCTTCATTTATATCTTAAATTTTATTTGATAACTCCCAGCATATCCTCATCTTCAAAATAGTTTAATTAATAAAGATTGACAAATTAAAAGGTTTAGACAGAATACTCATTTTTTCTCTATTATATCAAGAAATGCCTGTCAAACAATATTCTCATGAGATCCTGATATATCATTTTTGAAAAACTAACATTATTTAAATTTTTTTAGAATAATAATAAATAGCTAAAAAAAATCAAATACAATTCAGAATATAGATTTAAAGATATAATTATTAAAATAAAATTTACAAATAATTTTTTTTTGAAAAACCAACAATTACAGAGAGTCATCTACTTCTCATGGATATTTACAAACATTTGGAAGAGCTAGATAACAATAAAGCTGAAATGGTAGCTGCCAGCATACTCCATGGCTTAGGATTTACCAAAGAGATGCAAAATAGAGAAGTGAAACATTTTTCAGGAGGTTGGAGAATGAGAATATCTCTTGCTAGAGCACTTTATCTCAAACCCACTCTATTATTGCTAGACGAGCCTACTAATCATTTAGATCTTGAAGCATGTGTGTGGCTTGAAGAAGAACTTAAAAAGTAAACTAATAAATTACGTAATTTATATTTTGTTTTTGTAATTAACCCTTATTTTTTTTAGTATTAGCATAAAATTTTCCAAAAGTTGTTTGCTCATTTTTGATCTTTGTGGTGAAAAATGAATTTCAAATGTGGAAAAGATCTTTCAATGCTAACCTATACTAAATATATTTATATGAAAATATAATAAATCCACTTGGATTGCAGGAACAGCAAATAAAATGTATAAGAGTGCTGCAGCTTAGCAGACTCAAAACCCAAAATATTTTTCTTACCCAATCTTTTGTAATTGTCAAATCCATTAATTATTGTTCCAATGCTTTTCTATGCAATCGTTTCCCATTTCAGGTATATTTTCCTGCCTTTCTTTAAATTGAATAAATTTCTGGTTCAAGACAGCATCCTAACTTTATCTGCATAAAAATCTGCGAGTGTTAACTGTCAAATTGGAAACGTTTGTTTGTGATTATAATTGTTTTAAAATTTCTACAATCGTTATTTTTCCATTCTAATCTTCGGGCAATAAATAATCAGATTGCTCCAAAAAGAAATCTTTGATATTGGGATTGAGTAAAATTAGCTTTTCTAACTTATGGTTGAATGCCATCGGTGGCAATCTAACAGTGGCTTAGGGAGTTTCATATTTTTTAGTGTTGTTAAAGTAACCAGTTACCTGTAACTAGTTACATTTTTGCTAAAAAATAACTGTAACTAGTTATATTTTTTGAAATGTAACTACTAAAATTAACTAGTTACTTCTAAAAATATGTATGTATAAATCTAAATAATATATTCAAATAATTAATTTTATTTTTTCATGTGAATTGATCATTTATTTAAAGAATATTAAAATTATAATTAATAAATATACTATAACTTTATAAAAATATATAATTAAAATAAGAGAAATATAAAAAATAAAATAAAATTTTAGGTTTGGTCAGTGGGGCTAAATGACCCATGTATAGATATACATTTGGATCAACAAATTTATTGATATTCTTTGTCTAAGATAAGAAGTCTTCTTTTGAATCACCTGTGATTAAACGTAACCTTTGCACTATTATTTTGAATAATTTTAGGGCTTGGGGTCCAAATGATTTACAGGTGTCTGAGACTACCCGAACAAAAAAAAGATTATTAAGGTGGCTATATTTATTTTTTGTATTTTCAACTTTAGTGATGGAGTTAACATTAAAAGATCTGGCAAAACGATCTACACATGTTTAATCCTAAGCTAGGAGTATAAGCCTCGGTTCCAAGGGACTAGCTTTGTGCTAAATTAAATTTAAAATTAAATTTAAAACTTTGTTTAAATATCCGATTGTGGGATATGTCCAAATAGATTTTCTTTTCTTAAATTGTTACATTGCTGGGTTTTTTAATTTTGCAACCAAATTCAAGTAATAAACCTATTTTTTAATATTATATTTCCTTACAAATTTAGCACAATATTTTCGATATTTTTTGCCCTCAAGTCCCTCGCAATATTTATACTCTGGAATTTCATAAGTTATAAATGTATTTTTTTTAAATTTTACTAATTTAGAGCATAAAACTTAGAAAGATTTAGATTATTTTGGAATTAAATAATTTTTGTATAAAATGCTAAATTAGTCATCATTACTTACTAATAAGAAAAGACAAAGACTATGAGAGAAAAACAAAATATTATAATGCAGGTATCAAGTATCATTTCCTTCAACAAAAGATTAATCAAATAATCTTCATTTTATAGTCTAATTTAATGGTATTTTTGTCATGGTCCTCTTGTTTAGGATTTTTTTGCCTTCTAAAAAATAGGTAAATTCTATGATCTAAAGTGTTTTCCAAATTATACAATAGGGTGCATGCATATATAATTAAATAAAGAATAAATTATCTAATACCCTTCCCTTATTATTCTTATTTTCACAATTTTCTTGACAAAAAAAACTTTAATGTTATACAATTCTATTTGAATTAACATTAAAATATATATATTCGCAATAAGTTTAAAATAAATATTTTCACCAACTGTATATAAATATCATATTTACAAATATTTGAGCGAAAAATCATTAATTCTTAATACATAACCTGAAACCCATTTTTAGAACATTTTAAAATTTATAAGAACCAGAAAGTAACTTATAATGTAACTGTAACTAATTATATTTCAAAAGTAACTTTAACAACACTAATATTTTTCAATATCTTTTGATAGTGGTATGCCTTATTTTTAAATTGAGCTCCTGGCTTTTGCAAGAATCTCCACAATGTATGATAATTTTATTGCATTTTGAAATGCAAGCTGAAGTGTTTGAACTTCACAATGTACATATAGTATGTGGATAGGATAGTTATTGATAAAAAGTATTCTGTATATCATCGTTATCATATTTATTTATTTAACATCGTTATTTTCATCATTCACTAATTCACTCCCTATGTTGTAATCTATTTCAAGCTATAAGAGCTTTATAGCATTAATAAATTTGCACCATTGTCAGAAGTAATGGAATATGTTTGTTTGATATTAATTTAAAATTTTTATAAAGTTTTTAATATATTCTCCTTTTTATATCCTGCTATACCTCTTTCTTTTAGCTCAACATTCCCAAGAGTTCTCAAAATTATAACATACCTTGATATAAATTTAATATTTACACCAAACTATCTAGTCATTGAACAGCATCAACTTTTTAACTAATGGATAAAGCTGTTCCATCAATAGTTTTTGATAAATTTTCTCTATTAATAAATGAATTGAGGAAAAGTGTATTTATGATACTTTGAAATTCCTAATCCTCAATAATTGATAGAGGCCGACCATTTATTATAACAATTTCTATGATAGAACTCATCTATATCTATTTTGGGCTTTTTGCAAATATCACTTCCTGATATTTTGTTTTTCCCTCCAAATATTTTAGATATTCATTACTGTGATTTCTTCCTAGATGTCCTTCTAAATTTGATAAATGATTTCCAGACATTTTTAATTTACAATATGAGCACACTCATTTATTTTCTATTATATCTAGAGTAAAATGCTTTTCAAATATTTTAGATATTAAATCTATAAAATAAAATGATGAATTTAGGAATATTTATTAAACTTTCAAATAAAGTTAAAGAAAATAAATTTTTTAAATGGCAATGATTTCATAGAGATTAAAAAATTGATATATAAATTTCATTTTATTAATAATATTCATTTCATTAATATTATATTGTATCTATCTTATTAAATATGTAAAAAAACTAATCTGAACAAGAAATAAATGTTTAGCATATACAAATTGGTATTGCTAAAATGATTTTAATAAGTTTATAAACAAACTGCCATATATTTTTGATTCAAATAAATTCAATAGTTGATTTTGATATATCAAAATAAAATTACCTATCAAAATTTACATGTTCGTATTATAATTTAATAATAGATAATAAAATTTAAATAATTATTAATGAATTTTTAATTAATTAGAATAAGGTATAAAGGTATAATAATTTTTACTTTGACTTGCTCACTTTCATTTTCACTTAACTAATAATCTTTAAGAATAAATTTAAAAAAAAATTGCTTAAAGAATTGAATTGTTTAAAATTTATTAACACTTCTGCTTAACCCTAAGAAATATTATATAAAATTCATTGAACCGGGTTTCATAAAGGATTCTGGGTTTGGTTCAGGTTTTTAGAAATTTTTAAAAAGGTTAGGCTTGGGTTCAGATTATTTTTCAAACCTTGGATTTTTGGATTCGATTTGAAACCCCGGTTTTAAAACTGCAGTATAGTTTTATATCTTACTCTAAATTAGGTATGGTTTAAGATTAGTTTATATGAAATGGAATTACTTAAATTAAATATTTTGTCATTTTTTATACAATCTTTATATTCACTCAATTTTTCTTCTATGTTTATTCGAGAACATTTAGTAATTTTTTTTGCACAGATACCAACGCATACTAGTCATCATTTCACATTCTCAAGATTTTTTAAATAACGTTTGCACTCATACACTCCACTTGGAAAAGAAAAAATTAAAATTATATGGGGTACTAAAATTTCAATACATAATATATCATACAGATTTATAAATATTAAATTTGTTTAGGCTGTGACCAATTATAAAAAATTAAATTCGGAAACTTTTGTAATTTTCGCAAAAATAAAACATGTCCTAAACATAATTCAAAATTTTAACACAATTTGATTGTTTAAAGCTAAAAAATTTTTGCCAATTTTTAAACCAGATTTAGGACACAGCCTTAAAAAAAATATAAAAATAGATTTTTAGCTTTATATCATTGAAATTGAAAACTAGGCCAAAATGATTTTTTTTTATTATTTGATATATTAAAAATAAAATTTAAATATATAAAAGGCCATTTGATACCCAATTTTGATTGGCTTACATCCTGTCCTTCATAAAATATTAAAAGGCCTAGAATTCTAATAACATTATTAAGCTCTAATAAAAGGTAATACCAATTTTATATGAAGATTTTCATTGTTTCATCGAAAATTTAAATCAAGTGTCCTTCTATTTTTATTATTTTGTAGGAATATCCATGATAAATATATATTTTTAACTTTCTTAAGGGTAACTACGATACATTCATACGCACGAGGGACGAGTTATTAGAAAATCAAGCCAAGCGTTATAAATGGGAACAAGCTCAAATAGCTGACATGAAAGTTTGAATATTTTCTAAAAATAAATATCATCTTAATCAAACGGATAATTTTTAAATTGCCATTTTATATTTCATACCTTTAAAAACTAATTTAATTTCTATAAGGACATCCACATTATATTTGCCATTTTCGCAAAGTTCATTATATATTTTAACATAAACATGATACAATATTGTACAAAATGTTTGCAAATTTTTTTCTCTTAAATTTTTACTATTATCTTATATTTCCCATCTTTTACTTTATTCATTTAGTTCAATCTCTTTATATCGTTCACTAGATTATAAAAGGAGTTCTCTTAATCTCCATTTTAGAAAGTCTATGCAAAATAAAATCGTTTAATAAAAAGTGCCAAATTTATAAATAAAGTAGAATTATCATTTCTTAATTCCAATAAACATCCTTTTTCTAGTTGTAAATATTTTTTGTTTTTTAGATCGTATGTTTGTATTTTTTTATTATTTGTATCTGTTCATTTGTAGCAGTGACCTGCAGGCTTGCCCAGCCTGGCCTGGGTACACCGGCTGGGTCGTTTTTTTAAATATATTCTTATCCAGTCCAAGCCATATATTTTAAATCGCCATTATTACCTATAAAAATAATTATAATATATTTTATAAAAAAATACGGACTGGGCCTGAAAATATAAAACCCGGGCTGGGGCAAAATTTAAAAAAAATCCAAGCCAGGCCAAAAAGTTTTTTTATAAAGTCTCTGTTTTAAAATTCTTGAGGATTATTGCAGGGTTTTAGACCAGACAAACTCGAAGCACTTATTCTGTACTCGGACCGGATTCTGACCCTCTATATAAACTGTTTATGATGAGCTCAGAGCTCTTGTTTGTACTGAAAATCATGGCGAAAACAGAATTCTATTTTTTTGTGAACCAAATTATATTTACAACCTATTTCTTACAATGAACATAAAAATTTATCACGAAAAAAAAATTGTTTACACAGGATTACATTGCCAGATTCGGCCATGGCAGTGCTAAATTAGCTCGCCAAGCTCAAAGCAAAGAGAAGACCTTGAATAAAATGATTCAAAGTGGATTGACGGATAAAGTTACAGATGATAAAGTAAAAAATTTTTTATAAATAATTTAATTTATCCTAGATACTTTTCTCTAATTTATAAGTTATAACGTTATTGCTAACTCTACATGTTATCATGTGATAAACAGATTCCTAAGTACATTTAAAAGAGCCTTTTAATTTCCTAAACTGTGTAGCTTATAATATAAGTTCTGAATTTCCTATCTAATTATTGACTTCTTCCGATCAATTCACAAATGTTTACATGACAAAATATGCACAGGTCAATTAAAAACATTGGTATCACATCGACAAAAATAACATACAAAGACTTCTCTCGCATAACATAACCAAAGCCTTTGATTAAAATATATGCCTGTTATATTATAAAAAAAAACTTTATCGCAGAAAAACATGGCAATACTAGGCCCAATAAATGATAGATACTACCTTTCAAACGAAACTGAAATGCCTAATTATCATTTACATTCTACTCAATAACCTTCATTCTATAATTGTTTCACCATTATAAAATCCAAAATTCTGCCAAAGATAATAAAATAGACAAAAAAGCCAGTTCTCTAAAAATAATATAAAAATACCTCTTTCATTCACATTTATTTATTGATTAATTTTTTTTAAAAAAATCTATTTTTTGAATAAAAGAGTCTCAGCTTTTATTTTCCTAGTTGCGAAAAATTACCGCCACCCGTTATACAAATACAAAACGTTAGCTTCAGATATTCCGATGACAAGGTATTTATATATCATATAATATATACAACTTTAAAATTTTTACTTTTACTCTATACATGCCCCCCTTTAGGCCTCATTCAGTGTGGACACGTCACAAAAATTGATCACATTTAAATGATTTTTATAAACTCGTAAATGTTAAATCTTGTGGCATTTGCATCCACTATGAATGCGACATGTCAAGATTCTCCACTTTTTTGATTTCATAGGTATCTTATAGCGAAATATTTTTAAAGCACCTCCCTTTTTTAAACTCTAAAGTTCTGGTTCCTTAGTTAATAACTAACTGAGATTTTTCACAAAGAAAAATTTATCCTTTTTTTTTCTAAAAAATGTATATTATATAGGAATGGATTTACAAAAATTTAGAGTTAGGGATGGATATGGACACCAGGATTGCTCTGGTAGGACCTAATGGTGCGGGAAAGAGTACTTTTCTCAAATTATTGAGTGGAGAAGTATGTACTTGATCATTTTTTATAGTGTTGTTAAATGGCCTGATTTGGGTCGATTTGCCAGAATAATATTATGTGAACATCTAAATTTGGTAAATAGAAGCAAACCTATGTGCAAAATTTCCAGGCTTACATTATATTATTTTGGCTAAAATCTTAATCGGGCCGTTTTTAAAAATCGACTCAAATCCTCACCTAATTAACAATACTAATTTTTTTTAATATAATATTTGTTTTGTGTTATATTATAAATTTATTATGATTCGTATGTTAGGAAAAAATTTTTTAAATGTGATTATTTAAATCCATACTGCTAATTTTTTAATAATAAACAGATAATATAAATAGTAAATATTTTCCACAATATATATTTTTTTCGACAAAAATAATTAAATTTATGTTCATGATTTATTAAAATAGCTTGTGCCAACAGACGGTATAATACGTAAAAATTCTCACCTCAAATTTGGCCGATATCATCAGGTTATTTATATTTTCCCCCTCTTTTAAAATACTGATTAGATTGTTTGGGAACCACTATCGCTTTTTAATTGTATTTTATTTACCCTCATATATTTTAATTCAGTAGAAAATTGATGTTACTTTATAAGAAATTTAAAACGTGTTATGAATAACCAAGAATTTCATTTTAATTTAAATAATTATGTAAGTTTTATGTGTCCGCATTTAATATGGATAATTTTTTTTAGCAGGCTTCCAGAGTATATTTTCTAATTCAAAAATGACCTTTAATATATAAATTATAGAAAATATTACATTTAAACATTTGCAAGATCAAAAAGAATGAAGTTTTTCCAAATCATCTAATAAAATTTGATCCTTGGACGTCCTTTTTTATTTTGAGGCGTGATGGTTATTTCGGAGAGGGGAATATATTTTATACTATTAAGATTTTAACTCTAGCTCCAATATGTCTGAAGTTGATTTTTTAACCATTCTCAAATTTCTTACAGAATATTTCGCCCAAAGCACAAATTTTATATTATTTTATAGACCTTTAATAAAGTTCCTTTTTAAGAAAAATATTCATATTGTTACTTTTCTGTGAAAATTATTTATTCTGAGTTTGCCCTCATTTGGGACAATTAAACAATGCCAGATATGTTTACTATCCATATTGTTTAAATATATGTATCAGAGATCTGCAGACTCGAAACTGGTCAGAAAATAATATGATTTTAAAAATCTAGGTTAATTAATCTATTGGTTAAACATTTTCTAAAATAGAGTTAAAATTATTCAAAATAACCAAATTTAATTCTTCTAAGCTGGGATATATTGATCAAAAATAAAAATTCGGACATTAAAATATTCAAGATTATCTCGGGCTCTTCAGGCCTCTGATTAAATATAAAGAACATAACAATTTAATTTTATAATGTTTTTAATGCGAAACCTTCCTATATTAAACACTTTAAAGAAAGCATGTTGAAATTTCATATTTTTTTAAAAAAGTCAATAAAAGTGTTCATTTATTGCTATCTAGTAACATTGATCTTTTTAGTTTTATTCTATTAAAACCACATGAAAACATGATTATGTGCAATCTATTGAAAGTTATTCATTCGCTTGAGACAACACATGGATTTCATTGGAACAATGATTAATCCATTAGTCACCTCATGGTTGTTTGGTGTAATAACTAAGGTAATAATTAGTTGCATTGTAATATCAAAAATTCTCTGATACCCATTACATGCCAATACAATTTAATCGATAAGAGATGGACAGCTTGCATTCGTATAAATATTATATATTTAAAAATGATAAATGAACTCACTTCCGCTGTCAAACCTGTACTCGCCCATCATGGCAAGCTATTCATTTACAAGAGAGTTCATTGGCATAAAACTCTTGATAAATATAAATTTGCATAATTTATGTGTTATTATTTCTAAGAATTATAAATAAAATTATTTCTTCATATTTTATTCCTACAAAATTTTTTCAAACGGGTTATGATTTATTTATGAATAAAAGTTATCTTTTGCTTTGATCAATTGCCATATAAGTGGCTTAAATGATTGAATATACAAAATTTATAATAAACCCATATATGTACAAACATCATACCAAGATTCATTCATTTTAAAAATGGTTGTCAAAAAAATCACCCAAAACAAATGAACAAAACGGGGTTTTCTAGGGACATGACATTGATCCCTTGTTCTTTTTCTTTGTTTAGTGACAGTTTTACAGGTTTACTTGGGTTAGCCAATCCTTTTCTCCACTTTGTTTTTACTGGTTATAAAAAATGAGTTAATTATAATTTAATTTGCCTAAAAATGTAGTATTGTATTTAAAAAGTAATTTTATCATTAGCATCTTCACGAGCACTTAGACCTAAGTATGACACCACTGGATTACATGATGAAATGCTTCCCTCAAATCAAGGAGAGAGAAGAAATGCGAAAAATTATAGGAAGATACGAATTATCAGGCAAACAACAGGTTTTTAAAAATTTTATGAATTTTTTTTTAGAAATACATCATTTTAATTTTGAAATATGAAATTTTTTGCCATATAAACAGTAAAATTGTAATTATTTTTTTGAATTAAAATGTCAAGACATGCCCGATTCTCAATTTATCAGACGGCCAGCGATGTCGGATAATATTTGCCTGGTTAGCCCTGAACCACCCCCATTTCCTCCTATTGGATGAACCTACTAATCACTTAGACATGGAAACCATCGATTCGCTTGCTGATGCTTTGAACCATTATGAAGGCGGCATCATACTCGTTTCCCACGATTTCAGGCTCATTAAACAGGTCAATTTTATAAGAAATAAAAAGTTATTATGAACCTTTTATTAAATTTTTTTTATTAACTATTGATTAGGACTACTACTAGTCTTTGTTGATATAATGTGATTCGTAACGTTATAAAAAAGTTTATTTACTTTTTCCTACAGTTAGCCACTATTTTAATAACGAAATATTTTGTGGAATTAAAAAAATTTAATTTAAAAATTAACATTTCTAAATTATGTATTATTTATCTTGTGAAACTTCCCATTATTTCGTTTAAAAAAAGTGAACGACATTTTTATCCAACCAGTTTTAATTTATTATTACGAAAAATTAATTTGCCGCTTTTCCGTGCAAAAAAATATCGCTATTAAAATGGCTCTTTAGGACATAGTCTTGAAAACTATTTTGCACTTTATATTAATCATATTTCTAAAAAATTATTAATAGCTTTCTTAATGTTAAAAGGTTGCTAAAGAAATATGGCAGTGCGAAAAAAGAACAATAACAAAATATCCAGGGGATATACAAAAATACAAAACTTATTTGAGAAGGAAAGTCATCAAAAGACTCGAATTGGACGCTTAATAATCTTATAAATATATGTAATCAATCGTAATAGTTAAATGTATTATTTATTGTGGATGACCGCTTACAAATTATTTGCTATGGATTTAAAAAATTGATAATATTGTGCATATAATGGTTTAATAATACTGTTATTTCATTTAACAATTATTTAACAATATTATTTAAATGCCTGTGATTCAATTTAGTAAATTAAAAATGAGTGTCTGGGTATATTTATTTTTTTATTATTAACAAATTATCCTGTCAAATTCAAAATAAATATCACATTGATAACAAAAATTATTTTTAATTATAGATATTTAGAAAAATAATCCGAACTTTTCCCCTTATTCAGGAGCAATAATTTGGAGTGATGAGTTCCTTGAAGTTGGCGAAACGACTTGATGATCAAATCTGAAATTTATCCCATAATTTAGTCTTAATTGATCCTAAATGATCTTCAAACCAGACGACAGCAAAATCAAATGTTAGTAAATAAGCAAAATAAGAAAAGTGAAAAACAAAAAAATAAATAATAAATGGCGGCCCACGAAATCATAAATTACAATAGTACTAATGATCCGATTTTTGCCATTTAGTGCTTGATCATTAATTTCAATTCTTTAATTTGTTTAGCCACCATATGACCTGCTAAGTCATTTCGCTAGCTTTACGTTTAATTTGATAATGGTTAGTGATACGAATATCCTTTTTGGAGAATATGAAAGCACAAATAAATATTAAATAATGGCCCAGTATCAAAATATGATCCTTTTTATATTCGATTTTGGGTTAATGCCAACACTTTTATTTTGCTTATAACTCACTTCCGGTTAATTTTTTGACATTCCATTAGAAAAATACGGGGATCAATTCTGCACTAAAGCTCGAACTAGAAAATGATTGCTTTAATATTAGATATTTGCAAAGTGCCAAAACCCTTCTATTTTTCTTATAACTTACAAACAGAATTTTATCCTCACTTTCTTCAAGTCATTTCGCCAACTTCATCCTGGCCATATCTCGATAACTGTTAGTGATACGGATATCCGGTTTAGAGAATATTGAATAATGGATAAGTTTCAGATCAATATTGTTTTGGTAAAGTCCTAACACTTTTTTATTTTGCTTATAACTCACTAACGTGTAATTGCACTGCTTTCTGGTTTGAGAATCAGTTAGTTTCGGTAATTAACTCTCAAATCGTTTCGCCACCTTCAAAATTTCACGCTTTTCTTATTTTGCTTATAATTTACTTACCTTTGATTTCACTGGCATCTGGTTTGAATATTATTTAGGATCAATATAAGACTCAAAATATTGGGATAAATTTAAGATTTGATCTTCAAATCGTTTCGCCAATTTCGCGATGGGTTGCATTAATTCACTCACTTTTTTGACCAATTCGATATATAGGGATCAGGACCTAAACCGATCTTATATAGATTTTAAGATTGATTTAACATTATTGCATAAATTATAGCTTATTATCACTCATAGGCAACTCAAGAAATAACAAAATTCTTAATTTATACAATCCTAAATCTTTAATTAAAAAAGTTTTTAAAATATTAATTCATAAATATTAGAAATAACCACCTCTAAGAAACACCATGGACTTAATACTTGGTAATTTGCCAAATTAATAGTTGATAAAAATTAGCATCACTAATTTTTACAATCTGAGCTGGCTCGAAATTTTTTTTCATCTGAAATATTTTCAAAAGGACTTATTTTTTTAAATATTTTTATAAAAATAATATAGAGAAGAGAGTATTTTTTTCTATTAGCACCAATACCTAATATTAAGATTAACAACAGAATTTTTGTCCACTAAAAAACAGGAAATAACATGATGTAATATTTTTTTACAATATTTTGAAAAATTAAATTAAACAGTTGGAGAAAAAAAGATTTATTAATAAAAAAAATTAAACATTTAGGTTGTGTCTTGGTTGGACTCAATTTTGATACGTAAGGGGCTAAACAACTTTTGAACTAGGACACCCTGGTCATTTATATTTTTCCCTTCATTCACTCTATACTAAGACACAGCCTTATTGCTAAAATATAATACACAGGATGGGTCGAAATTCCAAAAGAGAAATGATTATACTTGATAAAACAGATATTTTAAGGGCACTGTTGATATTTTGGTATAAATGTCATTGAAAGAATGATCAAAGAATCACCTCTTTAATGATAGTTGAAAAATTTTATATCAAATAATCCTTCAAATATCTAATTCTCCTATTATTTATATTATAGACTTAATTTAAAAAAAAAATTACAAAGAATATATCCTTAAAAATGAATTTTAAAATTAAAAGAGTTTATTTTGAAAATATTTAAAAGAAAACTGTTTTGCAAAATTTACAATTTTATTTTTTAGATGCTTTGAAAAAGCAATTTTTGTTTCAAATAATAACATTTGTTTCTAGGATAACATGTTAAGAAAACTTTTTTTCCGCAGTACCATCCATCATAAGAGCATATAAAAGAATAGATTTTTATATTTTGAACCATGATGGTGGTTTTCTTTCCAACAACTATTTAACCTAGAATTTAAATTATAAAATATATACTCCAATTTCACAAATCAGATTCTAAAAAAAATATATGAAAATTTATGTTTGATATGATAGGAAATTTTAAAAAAATATTAATTTTTTATGAGAAAGAATACTAATTATCGGGGGTAATTGAATTTTAAAAACAAACATAATTTCCCTTATAGATGACTATTAATATCCTTTTTTGCTTTTTTTGTTAATTATTTGATTTTATAACTGATAATTTTTATTTCCTCTTTTAAATTAATTTTTTCTGTGTACTAAATAAATTTTTGTTTTGGGTCGTCATAAGTCTTGTCACGATCGTAACTACTGCATCTAAATATTTCTTTATTTCACTTTTTCTTATTGCATGAAGTATTAGTTAAAAATCTATTTTTATTATATAAATTTTTTTCACACTATATACTCAAGTTTGAAAATTATATTAGTAGACCCAGTGTCATGACAGAATTTTCACTGGACGCAACTTCCCCTCAAAAACCTATGCCTTCCTCTTAAAAAATTTGCGCCGCCTTCGGCTCCGATGTTTTACACCTTTTTTGAAAAAAAGAATATCTTAAATTATTCTATCTCTACTAACAACTATCTTGTGAATATAAAGGAGTTATTTTATAATAATAAATTCAATTAAAATTTTCCCTCATTTACTATGAATCATTATAGTATTATGAGCTAGCTGAGAATGTCTAAACCTTTTAAATAACATTTACACTATAACACAAAGTTTTATTTGGAAAGTATTATCTATGAATGTTTGCAATATATAGATTTGGTCTATGATCAGCAATATCATTGTATAATAATAGGTCTATAATATAATATTAATTTTTACAGTAATATATTTTGTACCCAACTTCTAATATCTAAACAAACATTTATCATTTAATTCTCCAAAGAATTAATTGTCACTTCTATGGGTTCTATTATAACGCAGATTATATTAATATTGAATTTTAAACAACTTAAATTAAAATTTTAAAATAAATCTGAAAATTATTATTAATTTGTAAACAAATTATTGTAATTTAAAAAAAATTTGGTTTTAGGTGAGCACCAACATTTTGACTAGTTTCGTTTTAATATGACTAATCAGATATAAGTTGAATTAGGAGTTTAGTTTTGTCAAACGGCTTATAAAATCTTAGCCGAAATATTTATCTGTAAGCAGCTTGGAGATTATGCTGATAGATAAAGCCTGGATTTCTATATGTCAAGCTTTCAGAATATTATTTTATATCTGTTTAAAAATCGGGCCGTTTAACAATACAACACTATAGGAGTTAGCCAGATACAGTGATTTATAATCGCTTGCGGCTACCACTGTACCACTCCAAGAGTACTGTGAGGTTAAAACTGTTAATACTTTAATTAAATATTATATATCGTCACGTAATTAAAAATCGGTTTCACAGCTGAACATTCTTCGAGTTGAATTCTTATTGAAAGAAAATATGCTTCATCTATTAGTAGTAAAATTTAAGAGGCCGGTGTTGTAGTAACAGCTAGATTGAACCTCTAATAATTCTACGATTATTAATTTAATGTGTTATACTTGCGTAAAAATTTCATAACACGAATTCAGCCTACCTCAACTCGCCTGAACCAAATTCAATTTAGAATTTTTTTTAAACCTAACCAGTTGTTTGGATTTATAATGTAAATTTCGATCTAGCTATGAAATTCCCTCCAAAATATAACCTTTATAATTTTCAAAACCGTCTATTACTATTACATTAAACCTTTGAAAATAATTTTCAATTTTAAATAATTAGTAGCCCATAAAAATAATCAGGTTAAAATATCAACAGTTTATGCTTTATTTCAAAAACTCTAAAGTTATCCATGCCTCACCATCCGAATCAAGATTAAAATGATAATATAATTATTATTATGAATTTAATATAATTTATAAATTTTTAATATTTGAAATTTAATATTAATAACTACTTATAAAATTAACAAAAACAATAACATCAGCAAGAAAGTTCAAAAGAAAATAAATGTGATTTATCAATAATTAATAATGCTTAATCTATATTCATTCATTCATTTTTATAAAATCATTTTTTTTTCAGTTTTTTTTGTGTAACGTTAATTATAGCAATACAAAGAGTGAATATGGAGCGGTTTATTAACACACAAATATAAAATATCGAGACTATATGGCTACGCTGGATAAGTCTAATCATTTTTTACACTCAGTATCCACAAGAACCTTAGAGAAAGTTCTCGAAGAAGGACAATCTTCTTTAATTCTTAATTTGAGCCGGCAAAAATTGAGGGAGTATCCTAAAATCACTAATTATGATCTAACTGACACCATTGAACTTGGTAATTTTATTATAGAATCATTTATAATTTGATTATTTTTAAAATAATATTTTTAATTGAAAAATATGCAAAATAAATAAAAAGTGCTAAGTTTAGTTGAAACTACATATTTCAAAGAATTAATTATCTTTATTTTTTAGAAAATTATTTTTTTATTTTTATAATAAAATAAACCTTAATAATGAAAATAATTAAATAAGATTTTTTTAAAATAAAAATATGTCTAAACCTAAAAATTCAAAAATATAATATTAAAATATATTAAAAATTTAATTTCTAAGACAATTTTAGATGCAACCTTAGAAAACAAAAGACAATATCTATTTTTTAAACTATTTGTCAAACTCATACAATGTTATTTAAATGTACTTTTTATGTGAACCAACTCATAATAATTATTAATGATTTGCAAATTTATTTTTTAATTTAAAAGGGCACAAACATTTTGGATATAGTATTTTTAAAAAAGTTAAAAATTGACATTATTTTTTAAAAATTAAAATTCAATTACATAATTTAATGATCTTCATCGGGCCTAATTTTTCAAGCCCAGCTTGGCCTGAGCCAGCCAGAATTTATTTAAATATAGAAATTAATTTTTTTTAAAAAATTATAATTACCTCAAAATAAAAGATATATGTCATATGGCATCTAGTTTCTATAAATAAAAACATAAAAAATTCAAAATAAAATTGATAAATTTATAGATATATTTAAAAAGGTTTCTGCCTAACCCAACCTGGCCCAAATTTTTTTAAAAAAATATTAGGGCTGTCTCAGCCTGAACTTGATTATAGGCCAGACTTACTTTTGCAGATCTCTAGCATGTATACCAAGATTATCTCATAATCATGTCTACCCAAAAGTGATTTACATCTAAAATATATATTAATTACACAGATCTACAAAAAAAATTTGTTAGCCTGGCCTTAGTGTTGTTTCTAGATTTATAAAAAGTATAACCCACTACTTTATAAAAATATATTACACAAACCTTATGATTTTATTAATAAATGTTCAAGTTTTTTTCTCACCTATGAGTGGAAAAGCTCTAGGTTTGCATAATATTTTTTATCTAATATATTAGGCAAGTCATTTTTTATAATTGGGTTGTTTAACAAACACTAATGAGCAAATTATATATAAAATATAATACTAATTGCAGAGACCCACAAAACCAAAATATTTAAACCTGGATTTAATTTATTTTCACTTGATTTAAATAATATTGGTTTGATCTTTTTTTAAAATTTAAAATTTATTAAGCCTGGCCTAAATTTTAAAAAGGCCATTTAATTATTTCATTTTGCAAATAAGTTTTACAATTAAATTGAAAATTTTAGAAGGGAATTTTTTCTTCTGTTTTTAACCCTGCCCCCTGGACTTTTTTTTTAAAAAAAATTCCCCATTTTATAGCTCATTGTGGGCCATGTCTGCAGGTACCTGAATTTGATTTGATATTATGCCTTATTTTTATTATACACCATGATACAAATTAAATTAATGAATTTATTAACATCTAAGGTCTAATGATCTTAAATAAAAAGACCTTACTTTAATACATATTACCCCTTTAACATAATAAATTTGGCTAAAATAAAATTAGCGCCTATCTCTCAAATGAATTTTAATAAAATAATTTTTTTTAGCTTGAATAATAATTTTTATAATAGTAAATCAAGTTACCCTGTTGTAATTATAAGTTGAACCAAAGGATCGACTACTTTCTTATTTTCTATAGAATAATATACAAATAAAGGATTGCAACCAAAATTATAATATGCATGATTTTTTGGAAAAAAAAAATAGAGGAGTTAGAATAAAACCTTATGAGTTTATCTTTATGCTCCAAAATCTTGTAAAAATATATTACTTTATAATTTTTTTTTAAAAAAAAAGTTTAAAAAGAATTTGAAATACTTTCCAAAGATGTTTTTTTTGATCAAAATTTAACTAACTAAAATTTGTAGTCCATTTTGTCAAAAATATTTAAACGAAATCTTTTATGAATAACAAATCTTTCATGTTGATCTTTAAAAAAATATCTTAAATATATTTATTCAAAGATTTTTTGCTTAAAATTTTGGGCAATAAATGTTTAAAAAAGATTTCTTTTAAACTGTGGTTTTAAGTCATTATTTTAGTTATTGCGAATGCTAGACCCCCCTCCCCCACAACCCGAAAAATATAATAAAAAAATCGTCCACTAAATCTATCGAAAGAAAATGCATTTTAAACGTTTACCCATTAACTCATAATGCCATGGAACTTAAATCAAATCCAGCTTATAAACTGGAACTAAACATTTATATTAGCCCCTGAGGTATAACCATAACTTTTCAAGTTCCTTTCCAAGGAAGAAAGAAAGAAATAAAGAGAGAGACTTATTAATTATTCAAAAATATTTGGGTGCAAAATATCAAAATTATATTATTTATGAAGGTTTTTTTTGTTCATACATTGTCGCCTAAATTAATTAAAATCAATTAAATTATTAAAATATAACCTTATTATTATTATTTTTTTTTTTGAATTATAATTTTCTAACCCCCCACCTTTATTTAGCGAAAAAATATCATTTTTTCTATCAATATTTCATAGTATTTATCACAATACAATCAATTAAAAGAAATTTTTTTTAACCTAAATAATATTTGACGTTTTTTAAAAAAAATAAAATAAATTATTACCTATCGATTTTAAAAAATTTAAATACAAAAAAACAGGTAAATTTTCTTTTTTTTAAAAATATAGATTTTAAATTATAAAATTATATACAAATTGAAAAAAAAGTGATATTTTTATCTTCTTTTTGTTAAATATCTAGACTTTTCTAAATGAAATTCCGTCAAATATTAATTCACCTGCCATTTATTTAAAAAATAATTTTTCATCATTCTCGCCCACCTTCCCATATTATGGTTGCGCAGTTTTATAAATAAATTATTAATATATTCTTCCTCCATATGTTTATTCGTCGCATCAGTCATACAATTATAAAAGAAATTTTTTTGTAATATATATTTTTGTTAAAAACCACACCTAATTTTTTTTAAAAAAAATTATGAGGAAAAAAAATGGAATAATAAATCCGTTACGTATGAATGTTCATGGTATTTTCCCGATTATTTTAATCCATTTGAAATCATTTCTCAATGGTGAAAAATAAATCGGATAATCTTTGAGATTATGTAAAATTGGCAGCCAGCGCCAAGAAAAATATTCTAAATTTTGTGCAATCTATGAGCAAAATCTTCAGGATTGCGTAATTATCTTTCTGGAATTGTAGCAGTTTTTTTTTTAAATTAGACTTAAATCGAGCCTTTTAGCAACGTTATTAAGGGTTAACCCAAAAGTTTCTTTTTACTTTTTTTAATTTTGAGCGCTATCGGTAAAAATTTTTGTAAATAACATTGCTTCAAAATAGCCCGTCACTAGCCACAGCCTCCATTCAGGGTATGGGTAGAGATCATTCAAATATTTTTCTTTTATATTAGTGTTGTGGTGCTCAGAGCGATTGTTATAGCATACATATTATGTTTTTACAAATCTATATAAAATGAACCTCTTATTCTATTTATTGATTTTGCTTATATTTATTAATTTATTCATGATTAAAAAATCAGAAGGGTTTTTATTTTTATGCAATTATTTACATTGAAAATTCTATTCAATATTATACTTCTTCAGATTAGTAGATTCTAAGTTAAGTGATTCCCCATTAAATTTAAAATACGTTTATTAAACATACTATATACTTTTCTGTTTAATTTGATTAATTTTTTATTATTATATATCATTTTTAAAAAAATTTAAGTGATAGGGCGATTACTTTTTAAAATTATTTATACTATCATGGTAAAATATTCAATTGTGTCCGATTTGGTGACATAAGAATATACGAAGTAAAGGGTGAAAAATATAAATAATTAAAGTTGATGACAAACCTAAATTTTCGCTTCAAATTCACAAAAATAAGAAACTCTCACGAGCTCGCCATTATTATGAAGACTGAACATACACATCAAATTGATTTTAATTTTTTTTCTTTTGCATCCAATAATGAATAAAATAAGATAATATAATTTTCCCCTATAAAAATAGGTCATAGTATTGTATTATTTTAAAAATATTTTATTTTATTTAAATTAAAAAAAAATTACTAGTTATCATTTTATTATAATCTAATAATCCATATCTACACTATATTTTGCATAACTTTTAAACAAAAAGGCTTCCTTCCTTCCCCCCTCTGCCTCCCTCATCTCCAAAATATTTTTTGAGAAAAACTATTAACTTATCAAATTTTTATTTTTTTAAAAAAAGGCATAAACATAGAATCTTAAGTTTCATTCATCACGTATATATTTAATAATTTGAAATATAGATAATTGGGTTAATTTTTTTTTCAAATTTTCACTTCTCGGTAATCTAATGAAATGCTAAATATTTTTGGCATTTTTTTTTTTAAAAAAAATTACATTTTCATCACTCCCATCATTATCAGATAATTATAAGTTGGATGATTGATGGATTATATATATTTTGCAGAATTTCCATTTCATTATGAAGTTAATCAAAATTGGCACTTTGAACCTATTTTTTTTTTGCCTCGGCTCGGCATTTAAAAATTTAGAACGGCCCTAGCAGTTAGGCTAAATCTATCACGAGATGGACCGGGGTTTAAAGACAAATTATTTTATATGATGATTCATAAATAAAAAAAATTTCCGGACGACATGGTGGATTTTTTTTTCTATTCCTCCCTCTCTCGGAACTAGCAAGATTTTGAGACGATTACTAAGGATTCGATTTGAAGTTCGGGGATATTTTTTGAAAATCGTTTCCCTATCCAAAAATGCATCCATTCTTGTCGGTTTAAAATTGGGCTCTTTTTGTTCGGAACATTTTTGAACGGGTTCGCAACGATGAATTGAAAAATACAGCACATTTTGTATACATCACCGCGAATTCGCGCTAACTGTGAAATGAGGGATAAG